CAGATCTTATTCAGGTAAATAATAACCTTCAATTATGTCCACCACGGAAGTTTCTGCCTATCGATAATGTCCCTGTTCATCTTTCAGATAAGAGCCACCTGTAAACCAAATTAAATTAGCATTATCCATAAGAGTTTCCTGTAAACCATTCCTAGGAACCAGGTGGTCAGTAAGCAAAACACAATCATGGGTGTCTTCATCCTGCAAAGAAAGTAGCAAAGTTGCTGGGTTAAGACTGTTACATCTAGTTAAAGCAATATTAGGTGCAGAAAGCAGGAGTACTTCATAAGAAGCCAGTCAACTGACAGAGAAGTGTTGAGTGTGAAGAGTTCAGTAAAGATTCAACAGAATGAGGAACATAGAGGAAAGCCTATATTTTTTCTGTTTGCATAACGTGGCTGTCATGCAGGGAGGGAGCCCTTTGGCTACTGAGTTTAATTGCTGACTATAATCTCCTATAGGTCTATAATAATCTCTATGTTTTTTAGTTAATATTCCTAAAGCATTTCCTTTACTTTTATGTGTAAAAAGGAAGAAAGTTTATAATTAGGGTGTCCCAAGGCGAGAGCTTTAGATAGTACTTCCTCCAGAGCTTCTTCAGCTTGTTTCCTTTTGGGGTTTCATTGAATGGGATCAAGTTGATCTGATTTTAATAAGACATATGGAGACTGGGCCATTAATAAAAAATTTGGAACTCAATTGTGACAGTATCCAGTTATACCCAGGAATCCTCTAAGCTGTTGTGTTGTTGTTTTTAAAAGAGAAAAGGATATTATTCCTCTGAGTCTTTCAAGGTTAATTAGTAGGGCATCTTTAGATATTAGATAACCAAGGTATTTTACTTGGAGTGAACAGAATCAAAGCTTGTCGTCTGATACCCTATGTCTCTTTATGGCTAGCTATTGTAATAGGTCAATTGTGTACTCTTGGGGTCTAATATGTCTTAAAGCAGTGGTCCCCAACCTTTTTGGCACCAGGAATTGGTGCTCCTATGACAATCTAATGCCAGATGATCTGAGGTGGAGCTGAGGCAGTGATGCTAGCGCTAGGGAGCGGCTGCAAATACAGATGAAGCTTTGCTAGCTCGCCCACCCACAGCTCACCTCCTGCTGTGTAGCCTGGTTCCTAACAGGCCATGGACTGGTACAGGTCTGCAGCCCGGGGGTTGGGAACCCCTATCCTGGAGCATAAAAGTAAATCATCCACATACTGGATTAGAGTGGAATCTGGTCAATTCAGGATCATTCAAATCAGCTTTTAGTGTCTGAGAGAAATAGGTGGGACTCTCCCCGTATACTTCTGGGGCATTACTGTCCAAGTAAACTCATGATCTTCCCAGGTAGAAAGCAAAGAGGTACTTCCTGTCCTTTTTTACAGGAATGCTAAAAAGGCACTACATAAATCTATCAATGAAAAATATCAACAGTCCACAGGAATATCTGATAATAAGATATGTGGATTTGGAACCACAAGATGTCTTTTTTATAGCTATGAGATCCTGTGCAAATCTCCATACTTTCCCATTGGATTTCTTTACTGGAAGGATAGGACAATTACCAGGGCTCATACATGGAATTATAAGCATCCCCCCCCCTTTTTAGTAATCTTGTATAATGGACTAAATCCAGCTAGTGCATCAGGTCTTAAAGGATATCTGTGAATATTAGGTAGAGGCGAAGAATTATCAATAGTTATTTTAAGAGGAATGGTTGGCTTAATCTTGCCAATACCTGTACTGGAAAAGGCTCAAAGTTGCATTGGAACGTCCTATAACGAATGTTCATTCAGTCCCAAGATTAGTTTCCTTTTGTGGAGGGTCTTTAAAAATAATTTTCTTCCTAATTGGTTCAGTGTCTGTTTCATTTAGTTCTCAATACATTTCACCCTTCTGGGAAAAGGATATGTGGGCATAATTGATTTAAAAAAAATCTCACCCTATCAGGTGAATTGGGGCAGATTTGACTAGTAAAAAATGTTTCCCCATAACATTCCCCAGGTTCTGAATTAAAAACAGACATTGGTAGATTAGATGTCCCCACCATTTGTACAGAAAAGAAGCCTAGTCCAAGGGAGAAGGCAACTTCGGTAGGATTAAGAAAGGATAAAGCAGCCCCAGTATCTCAAGGGCCTTAGTAGCTTCCCCTTTTATGGTAATTTCAGTTTCTTCTAAAGTATAAGTAAAGAGAAAGGGAAATGACCTCACATAGCCCTTGGGGCAACCCTATACTTGCTTCTATTTTTTTTTCCTTTTTCTAAATCTCATTTCAGTTGTCTATAATCCTTAAGATGACCTGACTTTTTACAATAAAAGCAGACTCCACTACAGAAGTTTCCCAGCAAACCTTATTTAGTAATTCTGCTGCTTCGCTTTCAGAAATGAGTAAGTGTATTAATTGGAATAAGTCAGAATAACCAGGATCGTGTGTTCTAACAGTTAAATCAGATTCCTTTGAGAACTCATCACGGTCCCAGAGTGGGTTGGGGGACTCTTTAGTAGATTCCTTAGTTCTATTCTAGTCCAAGGAACGTATATAACCATTGGTTCCCCTCTGCCTGACACTGACTTTTTCTAAAGGAAGCTGCTGAATTTCTGATTTTTTTTCTAGTCTTTCCTAGTCCGGGTTTCTTTTCTGAGTGTCCCTTAGGTTAGTAGGGAGCTGCAGTGGAGGAGGTGTCGAAGAGAGAGGACAAGGAGGAAAGGAGAGTAAGTCCGTACAACAAAGTAAAGGGTACAGTTGGGCAGTTGAAGAAGAGGGAAAAGTGGGGTGCTAGCATTGAACAGCTTCGGAAGCCTTCTTTGGTTCAGAGGTAGTCTCTGAAATGTTCTTATTAACTTCCTGGAGAGAAAGTCTCTCTATGCTCAATTTCAGAGGCTTCTGTTACCTAATTGAAGTGAGCCTCCCATTCATTCAATTTGATTTTAGAGCTGGCTTTTTAACTGCACACAAAAAAAATAATTTAGGTGTCAAAAGAACTCCATTTTGGCCATCTTAAGTTGATATCACTTCTAGTTAAATCCTCCCACTTCTGTAAGTACTTGCGAGTAAAATTTCCTTAGGAATTGTACATCTGCAGGAGTGTTAACGGGGGCTGGGGCTGGGAGCTTGTCGGCCTTGCAGACATGATTTCTTGTTAATTTTAGGGTTTTTTTGGTTTTTTTGTTTGTTTGTTTTTTGTTTTGTTTTTGAGACCTGCTGAGTCCGAACAAATTTCTAGGGATATTGTATAGTGGGTTGAAGTATGCTGCTTATGGGTTTAGCTCCAAGGGGCTGTCACCTCCAGAGTCGCCTTAACTCTCTTACGTGTCTCCATTTCTCTCCCCAGTTGTCTAATACAACTGTAAGGACTCGAAGCGCTAGGTAACCATCCTTCATGCGTGCATCCCCAGATGAGTCAAGTTATTTAATTACAATTGTGTTGGGATTCCCTATGGGGCCACTGCTCGCTTTGAGGGGTACCCTCAAACACCTCCACATAGATTCTTAGTTACCTAAGAATACTCTAAATTCTAGCTAGAGGGAGTAAAAGCCCCTTATCTTTGGAGTTGAAACCCGAGTTCAGATTCTCATTTATCTAGCAAGAGTTTTGTTCAGATTCCCAGTAAACAGTTCCAATTAAAAAGCCAAAATGAAAACTCAGACACCCATTTTTTTCTCCTGTCCCCGAGTTATCTCAACTGTTAACTTCTAATGTCACTGGAGGATTTTAAAAAACAGCTCAAATAAAGTCAGGGCCTCCTACCTTAAAACAGGGAGATCCAGAATTCCAAGAAAAACTCACCCAAGTTCACCCAATTTAAAGCGAGGAGCTGGTAGGGCTCAATGGGCCCCTGCTGGTACTTAGCACCAGGTCCAAGTCTGCAGAGTGGTCCTGGGTGGGCTTCTTTGGAATCCTGCCAACTATGCCAAGTAAATGTCGCTGTAAGAAACGTCCAAACCTGTAGAGAATTTTAACAAGTGTATTTGAGCCAGACTGATGACAATTGCCAGGAAGCAAAATCTCAACAGATTAAGAAAATGCTCTAGAGAATGGCATTTTTGCAGCTTATTTTATACATAAAAATCGAAGAAGGTGACATAAGGAGAGTTACGTTAAGTCCATTGGTAGTAGATGAGGGAGGTGGGAGAAAGCAAAGCGGGGAAATCTTTGGGCCTGGATAAAAGTAACATGGAGAGACACACACTTCTTTTACTTTGGTGGGTACAAGAGAGTTAATTAACATTTACAGTGCATAGAGGTGGTGTACAGGGGACAAGATCACAATGAGGGGTTCTGTGGTCTCCTCTGGTGCAGAGGGTTGTGCCCTGAGGGGTCTGGGAAAAAGGGATTTCTGTGACATTCCAAAGGTTCATTATCTTAGATGCAAAAAGATAGTAGATAGGCTCACTTAAGGTAGTGATTGACCTTTGTCAAGAAAGCTACAGGCCCAGGATGTGACTATCTACCCTGACCTGCTTTTAGTTAGAAATTTTTATGTTCAGACCATCCTATGTGGTTATTTTTGGTCTCTTGAGTTTATAGCTCATCTTCTCTGAGCTTGTCAGGTTTAGTACATGGCCTCTTTTTCGATCACACAAGTGTGGCTCACATAATATTTCTACTGGACAACACCGTTCTAAACAGAGGTCAGCACTCTTGGTAAAAGGCTATTTTAGGCTTTATGGGCCACACATGTTCTCTGTTGCGTATCCTTGTTTTTTGTTGTCATTTTACAATCCCTTAAAAATGTAAAAATTATCCTTAGTTCATAGACAGTACAAAAACAGGTTGTAGGTGAGATTTGGCCCATGGGCCATAGTTTGCCAGACCTAATCTCAGCACACAAGCTAGTCTGAGACCTTTACTTTAATATCCTGAAGAATAAACATAAAGCTTCAAAATGATAAGCATTCGAGCAATCAGTATGTTGCTTTCCTGTAGAAAATACTTCTTTTTGATTTTCAAACATTAGGAATTGTTCTTCGAAACTGAGTGATGTGGAACTTTTCTTTCTCTCTTAGTCATCTGTGTATTTTAAGCATTCCTATGAAGACTGGCTGGAAAACAATGGATTGAGCATCTCCCCTTTTCACATAAGATGGCAAACTGCTATTTTCAATCGTGCCTTTTACAGTTGGGGACGGCGGAAAGCAAGGATGCTTTACCAGTGGTATGCTTCATTTTCTCTTTTTGGTTTGAATTAGTCATTGTGATCATGAGAAATGCTTGATATATGAACTGTTTCTATCATTTTCCAATCTATTGAGTTTAAAATGTTGACAGTATAAAAACTTTCTGGTCTTATATAAACTTATGAAATTGCCTCATTGTGCCTTTGCATACCTTAAAAATCAAGGTTCTATATACTTATCTGGGTGGTGGGTACATGGGTGCCATACGTAAAAATTCAGTGAGCTGTACACTTCAGACTTGTGCACTTTACTCTGTATATTATACACTAATACAAAAGTAAAAAACATATGGAGCATTTTCCATCAGGAAAATAATCCTGGAGAATTCTCTCCCCCATCATCACACATAGAAGCAAGGGTCCTAAGAGTCATAGGACATCCAACGATCTGAAGGTTTTCCCCCTAAACTTTTGTGATACTCTTCCAGGGGAAGGATATTTAAAATATTTAACAACACTAAGGCATATATACAAACCAAGTGGGAAAGTGGCCAGCCACACTGCAGCATTGGGATCCTAGAGCCCCCTTGCCATATAAGGCATACATACCCCTTTGGTTTAACAACAACAAAAAAAATCAAGGAGTTTATGGTATTTATGGGTAGGGAGTTTACAATGATCTCTGGGACACCCTAGGGACTGACAGTTTCTGTAGTTGAGAGAATTCCTAGTATGGGAGTAGGAGACCTATATATAAATTCCTTTTTGTTAAAAATTTAGCTCCAAATGGAGTAGAGCTAAATGAAAATAATCAGATCATCAAAAAGCAGAAAATGCATCAGCAAATCAAAGGTTGAGTTTTTGTTTTGTTTTTTTTTCTGGAGCAAACAAAATAGGAAGAAGGAAATAATAAAGAGCAGAAATCAGTGAAATAGAAAGTATATAGAAGAGCATATCAGCAAAGCCAAAAGTTGTTTCTTTGAAAAGAGTAATAACATTGATAAGCCCATATCATGACTGATCAGAAAAAAGACAACACAAGTAACTAAAAATCAGAATTAAAGGGGAACATTAATACAGATTCTATAGACTTTTAAAAAATGAAACTTGTGAACAATTCTGTGCCTATAAATTTGACAATTTAAATGAAATGGACAAATTCCTTGAAAAACACAACTTATCAAAAAGTTAGAAAATATAATAGATTATTCCAACTAGAGAAGGGTGACTGCTAATTACTAAAACAGTAAAAAAAAGAAACTATCATTAAACTTTACTATGTTAATATTTAAGCTCAAAATACAGCTAAAATAAGATGCAAATAATAGAATAGGTAGATGAAAAAGAATGGATGTCTGTAACGTCAGAAGAACTTTCATAACTATATGAGAACAGGATCAAAACAATGCTATGTAAATGAGCAAAAGACATGAGAGGAAACAAATTTCTTACTGGGAAGAATATTCAGCCTCTAGTTATGAGAGAATTGTAAGTTATTAGAACTGCTTAAAGAGACTTCACAGATCTGAAGTTCAGGTAGGAAAAAGAGACAGAGGTATTGAAATTTTTAGACGTTATTTGAAGCTATGAAATGCGGCTGGTTGATAACTTTTTTAGTCCATGAATTGTGCGGAATTGTACATTTATGCAATTTTTTCCTCTTAACAGGTTCAATTTTGGAATGGTGTTTGGAGTAATTGCCATGTTTAGCTCTTTTTTTCTCCTGGGGAAAACACTGATGCAGACTTTAGCACAAATGATGGCTGACTCTTCTGCTTCTTATTCTTCCTCCTCTTCTTCCTCCTCCTCTTCCTCCTCCTCCTCTTCTTCTTCCTCCTCCTCTTCTTCCTCTTCCTACTCACTTCACAACGAACAGGTGCTACAGGTTGTGGTAAGTACCCTCTTTTTTGCTTTAAATAACTTTGTTGAAACATAAATATAAGGTGTTTCTTCTGGATAGCATAACTCCTATCCATAATATAAATATGAAAATAAATGATCAGTCTCATGATTTTTTAAATTACTTGCTTAAACAAAAACATTAATAAGAATATAGCAAGGAATTGTTGCACTATGCAGTAGTAGTATAGTAGTAATAGTAGTAATAGAGTAGACCATCATCAAGACTGACAACAATTACATAGTATTTGACTTAACACATGTTGTCTTTTTGAGATGTTAAGTGATTGTTACTGTCAAAGAATAAGCATACTGGTTTAAGATCTCTATAATGATAAATTGCAGTTTTATTCTCTGCAAAGTGTTCCCCTTTCCTCTGAATGGCTTTCATACTCTAACCAATAATATCTTTTTAATTAAAAGTATACGACCTTTTTGAATGGTCACTGTGATTTTTTGATGTAAAGAATAATGTGCTGAGTTGTACTCCTTTGACAATAACTATTTATAATAATTCTCGCTTTAAAGCATGTACGTATATCTTTACCTTATCCGTTTATGTCTCTAGAGTTTGGAAGAGTGCTTTACCATTGGCTAACTTGTATTTCAGATTTTTTATATTTATAGTTTCCATTTCCAGGAGTCGTGGATGTTTTGTTTTTAATCATATTCTTATTAATAGAACAGACTATTGAAGAGTTAATGACAGATTTTTTTTTAAGTCATCACTTTGTGGCCTCTACTAGACTGGGTCACTATGGGAAGATTTAGAAGCCATTTGTAGAGAACAATAATCTCCCCTATGGTAATAGCTCTTCTTAGAGGTTAAAAGGATTCTCCCGGTGAGGCCTCTGAGGAGATTATTTATTTCTTTGGCAAACATTTACTGAGCATATATATTCTGACAATTGGCCCTGTGTTGAGTCCTGCTTTTACTGAGAACAAAATCCAATCCTGGCAGTCATGGAGCTTTTAGTCTAGAGAGAGAGCTACTATGATTGTGCTACAGTTGCATAGAGTATCAGATGCTCAGTACAGAGAGGTGTGCTGAAATGTGCCTGGCACTGGAGGGAGAGGAGAGGAGAGCTTCAGGGGAAGAGTGAGGAGAGTCCACATAGCCTAGGAAAGGAAGATGGCAATTGACCATCCAAGTAACGGAACCATATAACATGGAAAGGTGGAGGGAATAATAATAGTAACAATAAAACCTAGTTAATATGCATTGCTTCCCATGTGAGGTTTTTGTGCCCATTTTATTTTATTCTTGCAACAATCTGGAGGTATGATTCTCAGATGAGAAAACCAAGGCACAGAGATCTTAAGTCACTTGCCTGTGGTCACAGTTAGTATGTGGTGGGTTCGTCATTCATCTCTCACTATCCTCAGAGCTATTATGTTCTACTCCCTTAAGAAAGACCAATAATTATTCAAGGAACTATAAAGTAACTTTGACCTGTGTCTAGGAGGTACATGGTACAGGATTTAAGATGGTAGGGTCTAGGTTATGAAGGGCCATTCTAAGTTCTGTTTTACCTGTAGATAACAGGTTTGTGCAAAATGAACCAAAGTAGGGTTATACCAAAGATGGAAAGACCAATTTAAGAGGGCAGTTGAGATAACTTTAGTTCAGATCTTGATCACTTCTAACATGTGATCAAGATCTGAACTAAAGTAGTAGAAGAAAGAAGTGGGTAGGTTCAAGTGATCTTTTGGAGTGGAATTCTCAGGCCTTGGCAATTAATTGAATGTGAGGCTGGAGGGAGAAGGAAGAGTTTAGGATAACTCTTGGGCTACACGATTGGTTGTTGTTGACCAGGAAAGAGGATAGTAGAGCAAGAAGCAGGTTTGGAGGAAATGTGATTATTGTCCTTTCTGGATGCTAGGATTACCAAGGCAAAATGTTGTTCAGAGAAAAAATTATTCTTTCTGCTTCTCAGTTTATTCATAGAGCTCACAAAAATATTGACTCTGTTAGGAGAGTCATGCTTTGGAACCAATAAGAAGTCAGCTGCCTTCTGTAGTCCATTGTGCATATTTATGTATATGTTTAGGAATGTTAGGTCTTTTGACTTTGATATGAGCTCTTGTAGCTTAGAGAACATACTTTCTATTTACTCTATAATTCCCTACAATCTCATTCAATATTAATTCCCAAAAACCTGGCACTCTGTTATTGAGAGATCAGCATTCTGGTACATCTAATACCTCAATGATCGTGGCCGAGACAGGTGGGCAGTCGCATACTGTTGCCAGCAAATAAGACCTACCATATGTTGGTGTAGTCACATGCTCAAATCCTTACCTTAACTCATTATTACATCCATAAAATAATAAAGAGAAGGAACTAATGTCCTTTTGGGTCAAGACTACTGATTTATTTGACAAAGGTAAAGTAACCAGAATACTTTGTAATATAGAGGGAATGTATGAGAATTCATCTTAAGTACATAAATTTAGAGAGGGGTCAGAGAAAGCGAGACTACTGATCTGAATAGAAAGACGCCTGACCAAATGGGAATGGAGCAGGTATGTAGAAAAAGACATACAGATGGTCTTGAAAAGAGTTGCCTAGTAGGCTCTGAGTAAAGAAAACTTTATATAATGAGCATCATAAAAATATCCCAAATATAGAAGAAATAGTATTCATCAACCTCCTTTTCCTAACATTATTAATGTGAAGAATTGGAAACAACCACCTGTGTAATTGATAAATGGTTAAATTATGGAATTATTCAATGAAATAGTATATATACATTAAAAATGATAATTAAGGAAAGGACACTTGAAATTACTGATGAATTTAGAAAGCAGTCCAAGCAGCATGGTCTGAATCTCTTCAGTTACTAAAGGAGGCTTAAAAGTGAGATTCCTCTGTTGTGCACAAAATAAATTCTAATTGAATTAAAATTAAAACATGAATTCATAAAAGACCTTGAAAGAAATAAACAGGTGTCTGCTTATATGAATACAGAATGAGGAAGACGTTAGCATAAAACTAATGGCAGAAACCATGAATATTGTTAGATTTGACTACATAAAATTTTTTGTATATCGAAAAACTAAAAGCGAAATAAAATTAAATGGCAGAAATAAAACTTGGAAATACATCTGTGACATGTATTAGAGAGGACAGATAATTGATACTTGAAGTGATCTTAAAGATCAATAAGAAAAAGGTGAACACCTAGGAATAAAAAATAGATAAGTCATGAAATGGCTACTCTCAAAAGGTCCATCAGTGCTCAAAAGAAGGGAGAAGTTTCAGCTTTAATAATGATCAAAGAAATATAAATCAAACAATGGGACGCTTTTTATATCTCTCAAATTGCAGATTTGAATAAAATGAGCTTGCCCAAGGTTATGGAAGGGTCTGCTTTTAGAGCAGTTTGATATGTATCAAAGTCCTTAGTATAAGCATTTTTTACCCTCTCCGTGAGGCATAATATTAAACATTGGACAAGGATTATCTCATGTCATCCTCAAAATTATTTTTTATGTAAATGTAGTTGTTTTCATTTTAATAATGAGGAAATTGAAGTGTTGGAATAATACAAACTTCCTAGTTAGTGATGGAGCCAGAACGTCAAACCCAAGTGAAATTTCTCTGGAGCCTGAAGCAACCATGCTTGTCTAGGAATTTATCTCCCCAAAATATTTAGGTACATGTGTTCAAATATGTTTGTTATAGTATTTATAAGAGCAGAAACTCTTAATTAAATGTCCAATAGTCTATTCCATAGAATACAATGCAGCTATTAAAAATCATGTTGAACCAGAAACTACTCAAGGGAAAATGTTTGTGATACTCTTCAGTGAAAGGGTCAGATTTTAAAACCACATTTATAATAAAAGTATAATTTTTAAAATGTGTACATGAAAAGACTAGAAGGACATGCTTTAAAACATTACAAATGGTTTTTTGTTGTGTTTTGGGAGCAGTATTATAGGCTTCTATTTTCCTTTGATTTTTTAAAGTTTTCCTGCTTTAAACATTTTATAATTAATTTAAAATAATAATTAATCAAAGGAAGAAGGAATTTCCTCCAGAAGGATACCTTTATAGGGTCCCAACTCCTGGACTAAAAGAAATAGATGCTCAATATGTAAATAGTATTAATGATGCCTGGTGTGCCCCACTACTTAGCCTAATTTATAGAATCTCTCCTTAACAGATGACATGACTTGGGAGCAATTTATCTTACAAGCAGATTCTTGTGTATGTAAAAAAAAATTATGCAGCGCTTACAATAGCAAAGTTCCTTTGTGAATGCAGTGATATACACATGTACATCATCTTGTGATTGCAAGATAATTCCTGATTCTTCATAGGTCCTTAACATGTCTGCATGTTCCAAATGCTTTACTTTTTGCATTAAATTTCAATTTTAGTATAATATTGATGTATCACTTTGAAACTACCAATATACTGGACTAATGGATGGGATCAGAAATGGAGGGCATGATATTCCCATACCAACAAAGTGCTTTGTTGGGCTACCTTTAATTACCAACTCTCATATAACTTGAGAATAGTAAAATGAAATTCATTGATGGGAGGTGGGGATATCCTGTATTACTCACATAAGTACTTAGAACATTAGAATAACAATACAGAGGAAGGGCTAGGAATTCTAACGGGAATTCCCAAATCAGGCCTCCAGCCCTTGAGGGTGAATCAGCTGCAGACTCCTTCAGTGTCACTTTGCATTCCCTGGCGCTTTGCCAGGCTCCCTAATTCTTTCCTGTGTTGTAGATCAGGAAGCTAAAATTTTAATTTTTTAACCCGGTGTTTCCTGTTCTCTTTAGATTGGTGTTGTACTTAGTTCAAAAACTGCCCAGTTCAAAAAACTGGTGTCTTTACTTCTTCATTTTTATCATGAAGAAGTAAACCATTGATACGCATATTATTTTTAGTATATAGAACTTTCAGATTGGAAGTTTAAGCTTTAATACAGCATAAACATTGTCTTGCTCTTGGTGTCCAAGTGTATATTTATCATTGTGTCTACGAACAGGTTCCTGGTATAAATTTACCTGTCAACCAGCTGACCTATTTCTTTGCTGCAGTCCTCATTAGTGGTGTTGTACATGAAATTGGACATGGGATAGCAGCTATTAGGTAATGATATTTACCTTTTTCTTTCTACTACATGTAAAGAAGCTTTTCATTTACAGGAGTTTATCACTAAAATCTGCTATATTTGACAGTATTTATTGATGTGGATGTTACCTACTATATATCCATCATTATTGAGTTACCTCCTCTTTTGCACAGGCAATTTATATATTGAATATGCTCAGTTAACCATGTGCATATCTATAAACTGAGTCTTTCTATCCTTTGCTGGCATGGTTATATCCTAATGGTACTTCAAGATCTTCATCCAGTCCTGAAACTTAATCTTTCTATTCATTGTGTCAAATGATAACCTCTGCACTAAAGCCCTCTGCACCTGCCTTTTTTGGCTTATCAGCTGAAATACTCTTCTGCTTCTACTCATGGCCTCTGATAACTAGAGCAAAGACACTGAAAGCTCTGGGTTTATGAACAAATATCATAGCCTATTTAGACACCCAAGTGGAAGATAAGGAAGGATGAGACTTGGGATTTGCTTCAAGTATTATGCCCTCTTCTTATCATGACTACCCAAATGTATCGTTATAATTATGCCTGAGCATTTAAAGGCTCCTGAACTTATAAAATCATAATGGAGAAGAAAGTGAGTCATACTCCCCTTCACTCTCACTGATAATTATTGTCATAAGGAACACACATACTGATGGGAGTGTGTTTTATCCTTTGTGTGTGTGGACCAGATAAAAGGTTTTAGATGAGAAGATTTAATCACTTCTTAATATTTTCCAGTTGCTTATAAATAAATAAGAGTCTTTTGACTGGTAATAAGCCCTCATCTTGACAGAGCATATACTATTACACAAGTGTGCCATGTAGTGGTTTAAGTGGGTGGCTACTTTTTTTTTAACCTCTTTCACCTTTGCTTCCACATTTTTATTTTAGCATTGTAGCCTTTAGGATTTTACATATAAAAGCATGGTTATTAACAACAGTTTAATAATTCACAGTATGTTTGTGAAATAATATGGGTCTTTTTTTTTTTTTTAATAAAATCCCACCAAGAAAAGGTGAATTTTACAGTCATTGTTAAATATATTTAGTACTAAGTGACAGCACAATATGTTTAGGTGATGCTTTTTTTTAGAGTAACTATTTTGTCTTTTGAGGCTATTATGTGTAATTTCATTTTTAGAGAATGAATTGATAAAAAAAAATAGTTCTAAGGATAGTCTGAACATTATGCATTTTCAAATGCCCTTACTTAGATATTAATTCAGTAAGAATACACTTAAACCTCTACCTTCATTTAGAATAGCTAAGACAAATATAAATATTTAGATAATTTGAATTGTATTTTCTACTGTGTCCTCTGAAAATAATTCAGAGTAAACCATAAAAATGTTTTTCATTTAGTTTCTCATAGAAATCTAAACCATTTCTTTATGTGCGTGTGACTGATGTCAAGTTATTTGCTCAGCATATTGGTTTCTAAAAATTTTGAAGGTGTAGGTCTGTTATTTTTACTTGTATTTTTTTTTAATTATGGTTAAGAAATCCAGTAAGTTTCAAGTGTACAATTCAACAGTGAGTCATATATATTTTGCACTGTATGTTCACTACTCATAGATTTCTTTCTGTCACCACATAGTTGTCCCCTTTTATCCCATCTACCTACCTCCTACCCCCTGCCGTCTGGTAACCACTAGTCTGTTGTCCATGTCCATGAGTCTCTGTTTATCATGTTGGTTGCTGTTAGGTTTATATCCCACATATACGTGACATCATGTGGTTTTCAACTTTTTCTGTCTGGTTTATTTCACTTAGTATGATTATCTCAAGGTCCATCCATGTTGTCACAAACAGCAGTATTTCATCTATTCTTATAGCTGAGTAATCACAATGCCATTTTATAAAATATAATTTCATGGATGACCGACCAAACCTGTACACTACTGTAAAATTATGAGATATATATCACATATGTAGGTATAACTTTTTTGACTGTTCAGAGAACTGTTTTTTAAATAAGAATTTGAAGTATAGTGGGAAGTTTTAAGATTATATACATTATTAATTTGAAAAATGTAATACTAGTAGTAAATTCCTTTTTCTTATGTGATTTCTTAGGGAACAAGTTCGATTTAATGGCTTTGGGATTTTTCTCTTCATTATTTATCCTGGAGCATTTGTTGATCTGTTCACCACTCATTTGCAACTTATATCACCAGTCCAGCAGCTAAGGATATTTTGTGCAGGTAACAGACAAATTTCTCTATTCATCTATGTGTTGTTAGTGGTTTTATGGAAAGTACATCACAAATGAAAATGTCATATCTTTTGGTTTATAAATTCAACTTACAAGACTCTCAGTTAAAAGTAGTAGAGCAAAATAATTTATATTCCAGTTTCTTCATTAAAAACAACTGAAACCAACAAATTATTTTTAAAAGATTAAAAGTAAAATGAGCAGAACATACAATGCAAATGTGAACAGAAAATATCACTAAAGTATTAAATGACACGGGGCCACTTAATAATCATATGGAGTATAATCCACAATCAAAATATAATCATTGTGAATCTTACTATATCAAGTAACAAGCTATCAAAACAAAAATGGAAAAAAGCAGATGTAATAATGGAGACTCATATCTCTCAACACATGGCATATAAGTATGAAGTCAGATCATCGAAGCTCTTAATAAGGTAAAATTCAATAAATATGTCAAACTCTGTACCATAATTTCTTATCAAGTGCTCATGAAACATAAAAATTGTATAATTTCATTCAAAACCATATTTGCAGTATATTTAAAAATGGTAATGAAATGTGTAAAGTTTTGCTAAAAGGAAAATCCACTGCCTTAGGTAGTTATGAAGTAAATGAAAGTAAATCAGTTAAGCATTAAACTGAAGTGAGAAAAAAAACTATAAAATAGTTAAGAAATGATGTAATTATTAAGAATGTAGGCAGGAAATAATAAATTAGAAAACAAAAAAATAGAACTGTTAAATCCAAGAATTAGTTCTTTGAAGAAAAAGATTAAACAATGGGAGAAAACTTCTACAGACAGAATTAGCAGTCAGGTTGGGAATGACAACTGATGCAGAGAAAATTAAAACAATTATAAAAGTGTTCTTTGTTCATCTCTGCAAAAAAATTTTTCAAAAACCTGGATGATTATAAAAAAACAAATATCCTAAATGACTCCAAAGGAGATAGAAAAAATATATATACATGGGCTAATTACAAAGGGAGAAATTAAGAAAGTTGAAGAATACCCCTGAAAGTTTCATGAGTGGAATTCTTTCAAATCTTAAAGGAGATGATTTTTCTTTCAAATTCCAACTTAGTGTTAACTTTCCAGATGTCACAGAAAAGGAAACTAAGATTTTTGTTAAAGGCAGTGTAATGCAGATATAACATCTCTTAAAGCACCAGAAACCTCTACAGACACGTGGTGTATTGAAACAAAGCAAGGATGGTTCAATATTAGGAAAGTTGTTTGAATGTGGTAAACATTAACCATTAGGGGGGAAAAAATCCTCATCTCAGCAGGTATTCAAGCAGGTATTTAACAAAATTCAACATCCCTCAATGGCTAAAAAACAAAAATTGGTAAAAGTAGAAATAACTAAATACTCTCTAATGCTATAACACTGAGAAGCATTCTTATTAAAGGACAAGACAATCCTACTATCAACTATCACTGATACTATTAAATGGTCTGTAAACCGGTCAGTGCATTTAAATAAGAGGGAACAAAGCATAAATATTAGAAAGGAGGCCTCTTTTTTTTTTCAGATATTGTTATACATCTTGGGGAGGGGGCACAACAAAATCAACGGAAATGAAATGTAGAAAAATTCAGTAAAGAGCCTGGTTACTGAATTAATATTCAAAAAGCCTGGTGGGTGAGCACCGAGTGAAGAGTCATGAGTGCTAGTGCGTGCATGAGTGCGTGGCGCTGAGCATGGGCACGCACTTGCGTGAGTGCGTGGGGCTGAGCATAGGCATGCACTTACTGGGATGCTGGAGAACGCATGCGCCAGGTGCCCGGGTGCCCAGAAGTTGGGCAGCGCATGCGTCGGGTGTGCCCAGAATCCCAGAAGCCCATGCATCAGGCGTGCCCAGAAGCCACCGCGGTTTCCGCATTTTTCACCTCAACCGCCTGCGAGGTTCTCCGACACTCGCGCCTTTTTTCAGAGCTCGCGCGTTCGTCTCGAACTCGAGCTTCTCTCTCGGTTTTTTGCCCTGCGGCCTTCCACTCACCCGCCCGCTGCCCAGAAGCCATGGCCTCAAACGACGCCATCTACATCTCCACAGAAAACTCGGAGATGGCTACAGAGATTGTGCAGCTGCACCAGATCCATGTGGAGACTGTTCCTGTGGAGACTTTGGCGTTAGAAACTATTCAGTACGAGGATCTCAGTGGCAATTGGGTTCACGGTGGCCACCACTATCCACCTCTGATTGCGGTGCAGCCACTCGTTAACTCAAACGAAGGGGACCCGGAAATGATCATGGTGCAGACACGGGAGGAAGTCGTGGGCTACTACGAGTCAGACAGCCTGCAGACTAAAGAAGACCAGATGGTCGTCCCGCTCGACGAAGACCACTACTTCCAGCAGACTCTGGCTTCCCTGACAGCCTCCGCATCGTCATCGACCTACAGGCATGCCAGGAAACGCCGAAACCGCAGCAGAAACGCCGGCGGTAAGAAAAGTTACTCCAGCACTGTGGGCGGCGGGGCGGTAAGCAGCAGCAGCTCTGAGGCGGGCAGCAAGAAGTGGGAGCAGAAGCAGGTGCAGGTCAAAACCCTGGAGGGTGAGTTCTCTGTCACCATGTGGTCCCCAAACAGTAAAAGTGACCATGAGGCAGAGGAACAGGTTGAGGTGAACCCAACTCCTGATTATTCAGAGTACATGAAAGGAAAGAAACTTCCTCCTGAAGGAATACCTGGCATCGACCTCTCAGATCCCAAACAGCTGGCAGAATTTGCTAGAATTAAGCAAAGGAAAACCAAAGAAGAGGTTCCAAGAACTGTAGCTTGTCCTCATACAGGCTGTGTGAAGATGTTCAGGGATAACTCTGCTATGAGAAAACATCTGCACACCCACGGCCCCAGAGTCCACGTGTGTGCAGAATGCGGCAAAGCTTTTGTTGAGAGCTCAAAGCTAAAACGGCATCAGCTGGTGCATACGGGAGAGAAGCCCTTTCAGTGCTCATTTGAAGGCTGCGGAAAACGCTTTTCCCTGGATTTCAATCTGCGTACACATGTGCGAATCCATACCGGCGACAGGCCCTACGTGTGCCCCTTCGATAGTTGTGATAGGATGTTTGCTCAGTCAACTAACCTGAAATCTCATATCTTAACGCATGCTAAGAACAAAAGTAGCCAGTAAAAAGGAAAGAAGACTCTTCTCAAACTAGGGAAGGATCTTCCAGGAGTGTAATTGGAAATAAATATGCCTCTCTCTTGTGTATAGTTTCTAGAAAAGAATTTTTTTGATTCTTGCGTACCTAAGGGTCATGTTTTGATAGATTAGTGAAAATAAAGTTAACAAGTGGAAAAAAAAGGTTAAAAATATAAATGTAATAAGATTACATTGTTAAGATGTTTTATCTTGTTCTAGAATACAAAATCATTTTGAAAAACATGATTTTGTAAAGTTTGATCCCAACAGGAGGATAATTCATGGACCTCACATCAAAAGACTGTTCTTTATAAAACTGCTGAAGATGGGACTTTTCATATTCAAGTTAACCTATTGCTTACAAGTTTAGAAAGTTCTGTATTTTCCAAATGTTCATATTTATACTTTTAAGAATATGGTTAAGAATATGGTTACTAATTCTATTTGTGGTTTTTCTGGAGGTTGATAACTTTGCAAGATTTTCTTTAAAAGAATGAACAATTACATGCATAAAGTATTTTCTTGTTTGAAAAAAGGTTATATAGGTTTTGTTTGCTATCTTAATTTTGGTTGTATTCTTTGATACTAACACATTTTGCCTATCTTTTAGCTGCATTAAATTATTTAGTACTGAAAGATGTAATTTAATAATATTAAGTCAGTTTAAACCTATTTTAGTCATTTTATTTCCCCCAAATAATGCCAAGTACTGTTTTTTTAGTGTAATTTCTTTGCCTTTTCAGTTAGAGTGGTACTCAGTTGTAGTTGTATTGCTTATACATTGACTTTTTAATACTTAAATATGTACACCCTGTGTAATAGAAAAAGCAAAAATAAAGTACCTGTTCTAAAGAAAGTTAAAAACTTGCCTATATGAATACCATAGCTAGAAAATAGGGAACATAAAGTGCTATTGGCATCTGGGGATAGAGGACAGGGTTGCTGCTAAACATTTTACAGTGCACAAGACAATCCCACACAACAAAAAATTTATCTTCCCCAAAATGCCAATAGTGAGAAACCTTGCTCTAGAGAAACTAAAAGTTGTAGCAAAGATTCCTTTGATGTAATTATAAACAAATTGTTAACGGACGAGGTTGTTTAAATAAAGGAAATGTATGTGTTCTACCATCCTCATTGCTGATTAGTCATCATGGGCAAATCAGGGCTCTAGAGGGACAATCTGGTACCACCCTAAAGAGATAGGAAGCTGCCCAGAGAATCAAGGAATTAGTGCTGCCATGTGCCCCCCTGACTGTTGTTTGGATGGGAAAAGCCATAGTCACATGGTGGTATTCTGAGAGATAGGATACAGGCATCCAGGCAGTCCTGGTAGACTGTTCCATCCTGAATGGGGGTGGGGGCTGAATTTAGTGCATGGTAATAGTGGCAAATTTAATCAGTGGGGAAGGATTATTTTGTAAAATTGTGTTGGGGCTAGCAACTTGGTGAGGGGTCAGGGTGGGAAGTGGGATTATAGCTGTATTCCTAAATTAGTTTCATTAAATTCCAATAGGTCAAAGAATTGATGAGGTGGGGTTTTTTTTTAATTTAATTTTGTTTTTTAAATGAAGCTGAGAAAACAGGTGAGTATCTTATATAATCTTGAACTGGGAAAGATTATTACAAAGGAGCTATTGGACCACAACAAAATTTAAAATGTCTGCATAGGCAAAACTATAAACCAAGCCAAACAACACACATATCTTAACACATGCTCAGTTAAAGAAAAAATTATAATACTTCTTAAAAAAGACCAAGTTCCTCAATGTGTATATGACACATAATATATACAAAGTAGTAAAAAACACCAGTCAAAAAATGTAAACAGTACGGATGGAAATAGTTCTCAAAGGAAATAGAAATGGCCTTTTAAAAAACAAAAATATTTAGTCTTACTCATAATTAAAGAAATAGAAATTAAGACAAAAGAGATTTTACTTTTCACCAAGCAGATAGCAAAGTCTAAAATGATAGCATCCAGTATTGTTTAAAAGGTGGGGAAATACAGCAGTTATGAGAAAACAATGCAAACTCACTGGAGATCAATTTTAATGCACATATTTTTTGATCCTACAATTCCATTTCTATGTAATTTTCTATGCCTTCACAGGTGCATATTTAGATGCATAAAAATATGAGCAAAACTTTGTTGCAGCATTGTATAAAGTTAAAACAGCCTAAGTGATCATTAGTAGGGACTTATTTTTTTTAAACATTGGCTTATAAATAATCATTCAACTGAATACTTCCCTTGTACTCTGTAGTGGATATAAGAAATAGGATATGAATATATAGAGAAGGGAAAAGTCCAAAATATATAAATGAAAAAGCAAAATATAGTTTCTGAGTTTGATACCATTGCTGTTTTTTGAAGATCTGTCTGTATATAGAACAGAAAAGATTGTTTACCCAGTATGTCCTGGACTAGACTTCCTCTGGATACTTCTGGAATTTAACAACTTACAACACTCAAAAGAATGGGGGGTATCTTACAATGCAAATATGGTACGTGTAACATGTATTAGCTAGGTGTTTAGCTGCTGTAATAGCTAAAAAATAAACTCACTCTCAAAACAGTCCAAATGTAAGTAGTGCAGTGCTGATACAATAATTCTATAATTTGAAGGGCTCAGGCCTTTTCTGTCTTGTTAACTATCTACTATTCCCAATATGTAGCTTCTATGTTTATAGACTCAGGTTTAGCTCCATCATGTAGTTACATCGACAGGGCTGTCTCCATCACGTCCACTCTCATCCTATTGGCCAAAACAGTCGTATGACCATAGTCGGCTTCCTGCTGTAGTAAGTAATACAGTGCTGATATGATAATTCTATGATTTGAAGGGCTCAGGCCTTTTGTCTCGTAAGCTATCTACTATTCCCAATATGTAGCTTCTATATTAAAGACTCAGGTTTAGCTCCATCATATAGTTACATTGACAGAGGTGTCTCCATCACTTCCACTCTCATCCTGTTGGCCAAAACAGTCATATGACAATATTTAGCTTCCTGTGAATCTGGGAAATGTTTTTAGGTTACATTTCTCATTATAGAACATTGGTTCTCAACCACTGGTGCTATCACCCTCCTGGGAATATCTGGAATTTGGAGGGGGCATTCTTTTTGGTTGTCTCATGACTGGAGAGTACTAATGGCATTTAGTGGATGGAGCCAGGAATGCTAAATATCCTGTAATGTAAGGGACAGACTTACTAAGAATCCCACTGCTCAGAGTGCTAGTAGTGCCCCCATTCTGCCTTTCAAGAAAACTGGTAGAAGGGAAGTTTAGTATTGGGGGAGGGGTTACATAGTGGTATGCTAGTGTGCATTTACCACCTGGCTCTGGGGGGAGGGGGCAAGCTCTGATGTGTAGCACTTGCTGGTTTCTGTCTTGTAAAAGTGTAGTCCCACCGTGGCCAATTTCAAGGTGCCATCCCTAAGTCCCTGAAGAAGGAATTGGTAAAGCATGTACATAGTCAGCTCTGGCTGGTTCCAGCACACCACTGGGTTCACCTAACAGTCTCTGTATATATGATGGAGATGGTTATAATCTGATAATGTAAGATACATACTCTACTCAATACACTAATAATATGCTCCATAATACTTTAATTCTTAAAACAATCTTTCCAAATACCATTTGAATTTCAATGCCCCAGTTCAGCAAGAATGTTTTTTTATTTTAGCTTTTATTTGAATAGCTCTGAAGTTCTTTTCAAAGATCACAAGTATGTTTACATTAATAATGTATATATTTTCTGAAAAAAGGGTAAAGAAAATATTCTATTTATGTGTTTTTTATATATATATATATATATATAAAGGTAAGTGCATAATAGAATATAGTTTATTAGTGTTAAATCATATTAACATGTGGTCTTCCTAATATGATATTAACATGCTTATTTTACATTTTAATATCTGAAATGGAAGAGGCCTTTAACTGAACATCTTTCTTCTGTACTAATAAGTAGCTCTATCTGCCTCACAGCTTCTTCTGGTTTCTTCTAATTTATCAGAATGCCCAGGTGTTGTGAAGTCCAAATACCTTATCATTCCAGTCCCTGGTTGAGCTTATCCCTTTTTTTCTCTTTTCAGGTATCTGGCATAATTTTGTCCTTGCACTCCTGGGTATTTTAGCTCTTGTTCTCCTCCCTGTAATTCTCTTGCCCTTTTACTACACTGGAGTCGGAGTGCTTATCACTGAAGTTGCTGAGGTAAATAATGGATTATTTGGACATTCACCAGATTTTATGGTGTAATACTTAGCATTTTATTTTATTTTTTAAAATTAAATTTATTGGGGTGACATTGATTAATAAAATTATATAGGTTTCAAGTGTACAGTTCAATAATATATCATCTGTATATTGCATTGTGTGTTTACCACCCAAAGTCAAATCTCCTTCTGTCACCATGTTTGACCTCTTTTGCTCTATGTACCTTCCTCCTTCCTCCTCCCCTTTCCCCCTGATGACAACTAAACTTTTATCTGTGTCTTTGTGTTTTTGTTTCTTTGTCTTGTTCATTTGTTGCTTTCAGTTTTATATCCCACATATAAGTGAAATCGTATGGTTCTCAACTTTTTCTGTCTGACTTATTTCGCTTAGTGTGATTATATCAAGATTCGTTCATGTTGTAAATGGCAGTATTTCATCTTTTCTTAAGGCTGAGTAATATTCCATTGTATGTATGTACCACATCATTATCCAGTCATCTATCAAAGGACACTTTGGTTGTTTCCATGTCTTGGCCACTGTGAATAATGCTGCAGTGAACATCAGAGTGCATACATCTTTTACAGATAAATATTTTCAAATTTTGGGAGTAGATGCCCAGAAGAGGGATTGCTGGGTCATATGGTAGTACTATTCTTAATTTTTTTAGGAACCTCCATATTGTTTTCCATAGTGGCTGTATTAATTTATATTTCCACCAGCAACACTTAGCATTTTATGTCAGAAACTTATTCAGGATTTCCTCATACATAGAATGCCTAGTTTCTCCTGAAAAAATTATTGGTAATCCTTTCTAGTCAAAAAAATTGTTTTGTAAAAAATGTTAGCTTTTTTTAAAATACCAAAAATTGTTTCTGTTCTCAGTTACAAAGATAGTATCAAGATTTTCTACCTGTAGTTTGTTGATAAATAAACAGTAAAGGTAAATGATGCATTTTTTATAAATATAAAAAACATATCTGACTGCTTTTAAGTCAAATATCTTTACTCCTAAGAAGTAAGAAAGATGAAACCTAGGCTAGACAGCCAGAACATTTCGTGGGATCTTATGTCTTCAACTCTATATTTCACTCCCTTAGACAGTAACTACTGTGATAGCATCAATCCTTCTATTCAGACTTGGGGAAGAGGAAAATTACCTCGTGAGCATCTGGCTCACATATTCATTGTACAGACAGCCTTGTGTGCGTATTTGGACTCTGTCTAGATACAGACTTATCTTACAGTTTTGTCCACTGAAGATATAGGAAAATGAAGGCATTCTGATGACTACTTTCACAAAACATTAATAGTTTTGAAAAACTATGATTTTTAATCTTAACAATTGGCTGTTAAGACTAAAAGTGTGTTTGTTTTTCAGTTGCAAAAAATTCAACATCTTGGAGAAGTAGGAAAAGCAACTATAAGTATTCAGTTTTGTTTTGTTAATTTTCTAGGACTATACATTTTAGATTCAAAGCTTTTTGTATTTAAAATATTATACTTAATTCAGTGTCTTTAACTGTTATTTACTCAAATTAATCATAGCTTATCTTCACACGTTATCTGATTTGGTTTGCTCTCTTCCCAAGGACTCACCTGCCATTGGACCCAGAGGCCTTTTTGTGGGAGACCTTGTCACCCATCTACAGGATTGCCCTGTTACTAATGTACAAGATTGGAATGAATGTCTAGATACCATCGCCTATGAACCCCAAATTGGTTACTGCATAAGTGCGACAACTTTACAACAGTTAAGCTTCCCAGTTAGAGGTGTGTATATTTCCTCAGTATGATATAACACTTCAGGCAGCAGTACTTGCCATCCACCAATTCTTAGATTATATCTATAGATTTGTTTTGTTCCAATTTCTTTAAAACAAATCAGTAAAATAGTAATAGGCCCTAATTAGTAAACATTCTTGGTAAGTTGGATACTAATATACATGTTGCCTTTATTACATATTGTTGTTGAACTTCTAATTTCATAATATATTTGACTTTCAGGATTCTAGTATTTAATTCTTTCTACATTAAAAAAAAAAAAAACTTAAGTCAGCATTCAAGCTCAACCATAACCAATTAACTAAATTCCAGTAATTAAATACTCCTGTGCTGTATGGATGGTGGCATGTCCAACGCTATTTGGGATCAAATTGTTTTATGTGGCAGGCACCCAAAGGAAGTCATCTTGGCTTCTGAAAATACCCCCTGAAGTCAGGTCTGTTGTTCTGTGTAGCAGGTGGCAAGGCACAGCAAGTTTATTCTCATAAGCTGCCAAATTTATTTTGAGTTTTTTCAGCTCTGAAAAATCAGCTTCTCTATACAAAATTATGAGGGCCCAAATTATTGAAAGGCTTGGAAAATACAAATTATGCTCACAGACTATATCTTTAAGTTAAGAAATGTCCTGGATACTTGTCCATATCGACTAGGCTTAGGAAGTATGATTAATCATCAAGAATAACTTTACTAAAGTACTGTGTACACTGATGGCAAAGCAGTACTGATTTTTTGAATTTTTTCAAATGTAATTTTGCACATTTAACCCATTTTTAAGAACTTTATTACTAAAAGTTTTTAAATGTACATAAAAGTCAAGAGAGTAATATAAATGAAACCTCATACATCCTTCTCCCAACTTTAGTAATTATCAATATTTTGCCAATTTTTTCTTTCAATCGGCTCACTTTTGGGGAGAGTATTTTGAAGTACATCCCAGGCATCCTAGCATTTCATCTTTAAACTTCAGCATGTCTTTAATAGATGGTGACTTTTAAAACATGACCACAGTACTGTTATCACACCTAACAAAATCAGTGATAATTTCTAATATCTAGTTGGTTTTCCCTGTTTTTTTCCTTAATCATTTTTTCTTAGTTGGTTTGTTTCAGTTGGATGGTATGTCTCTTAAGTTTCAGTTTCAATTTTAACTTGTAACAATTCTTCCTAACTTTTTTTTTTAACTATCACTTGTTTGTTGAAGAAACTGAGTCATCTGTTTTGTCAGATTTCCCATATTCTGGATTTGTCTGGTTTTATCTTATCTTTTTGATGTCATTAACATGTTCAGACGTTCCTCCAAATATCCTATAAATGGTAATTAGGTCTAGAGGCTTGATTAGATTCAGGATCCATTTGGGGAGCAGGAGAAATACTTCTAGGTAGCACTCAGTACTTTCTACCACATCATATCAGGAGGCACATGGTGTCTGGTCATCTCCCTTGTGGTGATGTGAAGATTGTTCAGTGGGCTAATCTGATTCTTTAAGATTGGAATACTTGTTATTTTTTCCTACTCTCAAGAGCCACTTAACTGTCTTCTAGATGACAGAAGGTTGGTACGTAACCCACAATGTGTTCTTCTCTAAGAGAAGTAATTCATTATTGCATGCTTCTTAAGTCTTTTATCATTTTCCTCCAGTTTCTCTAAATTTGGTATAATCTGTATTGAATTACAAAAGCCAAAATAACACAGTAATAAAATAAAGTTCTCTCCAATAGGATTGTTTTGTTTAGGATATCTGCATTTCACATGTTTAAGGTTTTGTCCTTTTTCTGTCAGAATGGAATGAAAATTTTCCCTGAAATACTCTGAAACACTTCCCTTATTAACTTTTTGAGTATTTCACTATTACGGGTCATATACTATATTTTGTAGATATTTGTTTAACCAATTTCCTGTTTGTCTCAAGAATACTCACTGACGGCCTTTGCGGCTGCAGCATTTACTCCGAGATAACTCACACATTACAGTCCTAACCTTACCCCCAAAGTTTGTGGTGATATTTTTGTGCGGAATGTAATGTTCCGCTTGTGTTGGTTCATGCTTTGGAATTTACCATGTGAAAAAAATTATTAAATACTGATCACCATATACATTTCTGTTACATTAGGATTAGAGATGTTCTGTTTAGAAATAACTCCAAGAACAATTTTTATATTTTATTTTCATATTGAAAACCAGTCAGATAAGCTTCAGCCTCAAAGAGCGTGTTTATATAAAATCAACACTGGCAGTGAGCTGCACTTTTTTTTCTAAACAGGAAATGGGTTAAAAACCTAAAGTGGATATTACTTTTCCACACTAATAAAAAATCAATTCCAAAATGATTCTTCTTCAATATCTATTTCATCTCCTTAGAAGCGACTATATTACAATACATGTTGATTTGACATGATCACTATATCTGATAAACCTGTACCTCTGTTTAACCATTTTTAAATTGAATCCATATACTTAGCCAGTTTACAGGGATCTTAATGACTGTAAATGTAATTGAAAATATATACTAGATTAATTTTAATGGCATATGTGACCACTGGGGCTATTGACATTTAAGAAAGCTACGGACCGACAGTATTTTATACATATATAGGTACCTTTTTTGTCCTTCATTATGAATGGAGGAGAAAGATAGAGCTAAATATAGCAATATAAAGTGACCAATAATCCAAAATGGATTCATGTTTAATTTAGAGTGGAATTCAGTATACATAATGTATGCAAAATTCTAAGAATTTACAGCACTTCAAAACAATAAAACCACCTCGGAAAGTTCTGACTCTGGGAGTGCTCATAAGCTAACCTAACCAATCATTTCTGGTCTCTTATTTCATACCCTGACTTTCCCAGGAGTATTGTTAAATTTGTAAAGATATTCTCTAAGATATTAATTAAGCAGACTAGATGTTCTCCATAAAATATTAACAGGTAGATTTCTGGCAAATTAGAAAAATGTGGTTAATCTACCTGAAATGACTACATTTTACAACATTGTTGAGACCTGTTTTTTTCTTTTGTTAATGCTTTCTTTTTAGATTTTTAAACATTAACCTGCTAAATTAGGAATGTTACCAACAGCCAAAGCTGGTTTAATTCTAGCTCTGCCCTTGGTGCATGGGTCAAGACTAAGGAGCTTATCCCATCCACTTGTTAGAGACTGAGCGGCCTTTCCAGAAGCCACAAAAAGGACACTGGGTGAGCCCTTTGTACCTGGAATAGATCTCTGGTCTCATTCCTGCCCAGAACAGAAAACAAAAACTTTCCCCATTCACATTCAAGACTCTGCTTTTAGGATTGCCAGGTGTCCATACACCACTTAGTGATTTGAAGAAACCAAAAGTTACAGACAAGAACTAGTCTGAAAAAAGAAAAAAATTCTTTTTTCTGAAAGCATTACCTTGAGTAAGGAAGACTTGTACTCAGTTTTAGCCTGGATCAATTTTTTAAAAAATTCTAAACAACTTTTTACTTTATACTTTATCATTAGGGCTGATGAGTGATTATAGGCACAGGTTTGTCAGTGCCATTAGGTATTCACAGTTCGCTTTCGCATTTTAAATATGACTTGTCACCCACAATTTAATACCTATTCAGTTATGATAAGGAAACAAAACTACCCATACAGTCAACCAATGCAGAGGATAAATCGATAGATTGGTTAGTTTGCTTCACCTCTGTTTTGTTCTTCGCTTTCTGTTGGCCAAGGAGGGAGAGCAACGGTGTCTAGGGGAGATCCCATGTAGCCAATACAAAATATCTTCCTTAATAAAATGTAGTTAAAAAAAAAACAAAACTATTTAAAAACAAACAAAAACCTTTGGCTGAAATACAAAGTTCTTATAAAAATATATTGCATATCAACTAACATTTTCATGTTTGTACTCTTGAAGACACTCTCGTAATAGGCTTTTTATAGTACTGGAAAACATTTTTTTGTGTGTGTGGTACTGTAGTAACTTTGCTCTTGAGTCTGTCTTTCTCAGCATATCTGAGTATGGTTGTACTAATATAAGATTCTAAGCTTAATTGGTCCTTGGCATACATCAGTTTATGCTATACAAGTTTGATATGCTGAATGCAGATAACCTTCCAAAATACACAGAAATAATTTTTTGTTCCACCTATACCAGTGATTTAGCTTCTTTATTCTGCTCCAGATATCAGTGAAGCAGTCTACCAAAGAACTTTAAAAAATAAATGAATAGTGGGAATAAACAGTTGTCCTGTTTCTCTTGTCTTCCAAAAATGGTAACCAGATTATCAGTATGCAAGCAAATATGTGCCCATCTTTGGGGTTAAATCGGGCTGCCCTGATTCTGTGAAGAAAGCCCTAAAGTAAGCCTGGATAGGTATTTGATATCATAAGGATTTCCTTAAGGATGAGAGTCTCTTAGGCATCCTCTGACCTCCTCTGTTTGCTAACACCACAGCGCAGGAGCTCAGTTAATGATATGGATAAGTAGCAATAGGACAGCTAGTAGTGGCTCATTAAATATTTGCGCTTGACCATCTGGAGTTATTGCAAAACCTACTGAGACTCTGGAGCTCCAGCTTTATGAGTGGGTAAGTTTATATGAAGACAGCTAACCTAGGGTAAGTGCTGCTTCTTGATTTCAAATTGGACATAATATCTTTTTGTAATGTTAAATCCAACTCTGCAGTGAGTAACCATCAAGCTGAACTCTGAATTATAACGTTGTTCCTGAATTCATATACATTTTACTTACCATTTTTATCTTGAAAGCAAAATTTTTATTATAGATGTACTTCTATATAACAGATTCTAATAAACTATTTCTCTTTAGCATACAAACGGCTAGATGGTTCGACTGAATGCTGTAACAATCAAAGCCTCACAGATGTGTGCTTTTCCTACAGAAATAATTTTAATAAGCGTTTGGTAAGTTGTCTCTCCTGCTTGTCTGATGTAATTATTATAAAATAAGCAGATAGAGTTAAAATGGAATCTATGAAAACTCCCTTTGCTTTATATCATTTTATTAAAATCTCTACATTTCACATGTCATATTTCATCTAAGAATCTTCAAAAATTTATAGTGGTAAGATCTTATTAGGCCAAAGTGAAGTGAATACTTGAATCTAATTTCTATTAGGTGCACATAAATGGCATTTCTTTTACATGAACTTCTTTGCTAATATGCTAGGTGACATGAATGATACTGAAGGACTGTAACTTGTTGTTTTTCTTATTAATAAATCATTTTTAGTATTGGCTAATTAATATTTTATTTGTAGCATACATGTCTACCTGCACGGAAAGCAATTGAAGCCACCCAAGTTTGTAGAACCAATAAGGATTGTAAAACAAGCTCAAGTTCAAGTTTCTGCATAGTACCTTCTTTGGAAACTCATACTCGCTTAATAAAAGTGAAACACCCTCCTCAGATCGATATGTTGTATGTGGGACATCCACTGCACCTTCACTACACAGGTGGGTATTGTAGTAGACCCTCAGAAAACCATTAACGTGACATGTGTTCTCTGTGGTAGAAACTCAGCATAAATCTATGCATTAATTTTATTAATTAAAAATTTGATCATTTTTCAAAGTCTCGTTGACTTGCTTTTAAACATTAAATAAAATTTAGGCTATAGGAAAATAATCTGAAATTATGGAGCAAGATTGAGCCAAATCCCATGTCTGCCTTTGGATAGTAATGCATTTTTCCTTCTCCCCCCATTTATGCCCAAGTCACAGAAATGATCTCTCAGATATTTTATGAGACTTTATTAAATTTATCCAAGCTCCCAAAACAGTGGCAAGAGCAGCATACCCCAGAGAATGCCAGGAATCATAGGAATATGACTATAAAGTAATTTGTACATGACACATGAATTTTATATGAATATAACTTCAAAATCAGGCCAGCGTAATTGTTTTGCTGCAACATGATTGGGCTAAATAAAATATATAGCTTCTCCAAATGGCTGAAGATCGTATAGTCTAACTCATTTTATTATACAAGATTTTTTTATGTTTTGTTTTTAAATAACTTATTGAAATATAATTCATGTACAGTTCACCCTTTTAAAGCATATAATTCAATAGTTTTTAATATATTCAGTGTTGTGCAACCATCACCACAGTCTAGTTCCAGAATATTTTCACCCCCCAAAAAAACACCATATCCATTAAACGGTCAGTCCTTATTTCTCCCCAACATCCCCCAGCCTTTGGCACTCACTAATCTACTTTCTGTTTCTATAAATTTCCCTATTCTTCACATTTCATATAAATAGAATATTTTTTGACTGGCTTCTTTCACTTAGTATAATATTTTTAAAGTTTCATGTTGTAGCATGTTCCAGTACATCATTTTTATGGCCAAATAATATTCTATTGTATGGACATAGCACATTTTCTTTATTTATTCATTAGTTGATGGTCATGTAGGTTTTATATTACTCTTCAAAAGGCTCTCATTGCTTCATAGTCATACAACCTGGGTCATTCTTATTTTTGAGTTTCACACCGAGTGACTGTAGTGCACAGATATTAAATACATCAACAAAGGAAGAAATGTCCCATTTGAGAGTAATTCAGAAATGGGTACCGTGGGTTCGACCTAGTATAGGAAAGTTTTTAAATGTTTTGAACAAAAATAGGATTATGGAATCCACAGAGTGGAAGAGACCATAAAAATTCTCTAGCCTTAAGCTTTGTTTTAGCAATGAAGGAAAAAAACCAAGACCAGGAAGAGGTTAAATGGCATAATAATTGGAGTCAATGTGATTTTAAGGTTTATACCTCTTTGAAAAGGTAAGAACGCTTTTGATGTAAATTCTATATTTTTAAAGTCAGTCTCTGTATTTGATATTCATACGTGTTATGTAGTCAGTTTAACTTATTCTCACCTCAAAATATAAGTACACTGGGACATGAATTTCTGTATTACACTATTTTTATTGGATGTTCTAGAATAATCGATTGTTTTTATCTGTCGGTCATAGCCTGCCTGCATATGCTCGGGAAGGGCTTTCTCAACCAATTTAATAGGCTAGCCCAATTTTTGACCATATGGTAAAATTCATAATGCAATTGTTTATCTGTATAAGTAATGTGCATTATTCTTTATTTTTCTTTTTTAGTGAGCATCACCAGTTTTATCCCACGTTTTAACTTTCTAAGCATAGATCTGCCTGTGGTTGTGGAGACATTTGTCAAGTATCCTTTCTGGTGTGGAAAATGTTTTAAAAGTATGTTATTTGGAACTTGATCAGACTTATCTTGAATAGAGCATGCATAGACCTTAACAACTATCAATTAATTTCTAATAACTAAAAAAGAGACTTTAAAGTTGAAAAAGATCAGATTTTACCTAGGAGAGAAGAAGCCAAAGTAGAGAGATTGATCAGGGAGGGAGAAAGGTTAAGATACGAAAGGGAAGAAACCCAGGATACAAATTGAGAGTTGAATTGACAGGTCTAAAAGCTCCTAGTAAGTTCATAAAGGATGAAAACTTCAGTTACTAGTGAGATGAGGTGATGAATTCTGCCCCTTGGGAGCCTGTTAGCACTGAACAAATGGAGGAATGCATAAGGGAAATCAAACTGGTTTCACTACTAAAATAGGGATTCAGAGGATGAAATATCTTACGTTCTTTAGCATGTTATCATGTAGCATATACAAGATGAAAAATTTTTTTATGATTATTATTTAGAAATTGAGGAAACTAAACAGTTTGGAAGGGCTCTTTATTTTTATCACTTTAAAATCTTTTTTAATTTCCTCAATGATTTGCAAGAAAATGAAATAGAAAACAAATGAGCAGTTACTAAAAAATGCGTATAATCAAGATTATATCTTGTAGATTGCAGCTTTGTCTCAGATCTACACTATAACCTTATAGATGACGACAAAATAGAGTTCACAGGGCCAAAATCTTTATTTCCTAATATAGAGCAATACTTCATAAGGGTCAAAAAAATAATTTTCCTTTATTTCCTATTCCTTTCACATTTCTTTTCTTGTATCATTAAAGAATTGGAAAGACAGTCTTCCTAGGAGTTCATTATATATAGATTGCCTTAGTTTGTAAATGATTGGCCTTTAGTTTTCTAGTCAAGGTTTTTGAACTTTGAAATAATATAGATAATTTGTTTTAAATACTAGAGATCTAAGAATGAATAGCCTGTACTGGTCGGCAGAGATTCAGAAAAAGGAGGAAAGTCAATTGTAATCTCAAATCCAGCCCTAGTCAAATATCTTCTGACTCCCAGTGTTTTCCACTTAGTGTTTTCCGCTAAGAATGTGGTTTCCACAGTTTCCACTGTCAGCTCCTTAACTGATTTTAACCAGGTACCTGATTTCCCTCTCCGGAGCTCTGGCTATTGTGAATGCAGTGCCCTGCTTTGCTTTGGATGGACAGTGGATTTTAAACTCTTTCCTGGATGCTACCCTTACCTCAGTGATTGGAGACAATGATGTCAAAGATCTGATAGGATTTTTCATCTTGCTTGGTGGCAGTGTACTTTTGGCTGCCAACGTGACCCTGGGACTCTGGATGGTTACAGCACGGTAATATTCACACTCATCTGACAGAATCTCCGAGTTACAATAGGCAATATAGAAAACCGTTACTTGATATGAAATATAAAGTGTTTCCTTAAAAATTACATTTTAGCCAACAACTTGAAGCTCCTCCTATATCCATAGTATCCAAACTCTGGGTTGGGGGATAAATAGAAGAAATGCAAGGTATAGTTCTTGAATCCATTCTAGTTTTAAAGACTGAACTTACAAATTTCAGATGCTTGTAAAACAGTTTCTAAACAAATACAGATTCGTGTAACCATTTTGTGTGACTGTCATGTCACATTAGTTTAAATTAGTTTAAATTAGAATTAGTTGGAATTAATAGGGGAAATTTTCTTGAAAAAGCATAGATTTGAAGAAGATCAGGCTTTGGCCAAGTAGAAGGGTGAGCATTTTCTTGGCCTATATCTCTTCCCCTTTGTCTTGTTTGAAAAGTATTTTAAAATTTAATGGTGTATTATTTTGTACTCTGACAACTGAGGTCTGATTACAATTAATAAACTTCTATAAAAGAATCTGCTGGCACAAAAGGGAAAATCTTTGTTAAATGATGCCAAATAAGTAAATAAAGTAGGAAGTAGAGCCTACAATATCTTCAGACACATTTTGCCCCGTAAGAGTTACCTCTTTGATAACATGTCCCTATTCCCTCATAAAGTAGCATTTAGCTTGACATTTAGAGTAAGCTGCAGAAAGTGTCTCCCATTTGCAGCATGTGAGCTGAGGCAATTAGGATCAAACCTCAGAACTGAGCTGGGTCTTCTGACAGATCACATCACAGGACCTCTGCAGTCCTGGTGACTTATTCTCTACAGGGCTTTGAAGCTTGGGACTCTTCCAAGGTAGACATTTTCTCTTGTGGTGCTAGGGCTAACTGGGGCCACAGCCCCTGGGTTCCTGTCTTCAAGAAGTAACTACCTTAAGCCCTGAATCATACTTTGTCCTCACCAGCAGTTCCCATGTTTCTCTGTGTTGCGTAATAAAACGTCTAGTCCTTGCTTTCCGTCTTTCCCCTAAGCTACCTCTTTGGGTCCACAGAAGACTCGGTAGTGCAGTGAGAATGGCTACACGTGAGTACAAACATGGATTTGCCAGAGCCTGGGAACTGACTCTTGTGCCCTGAAAAGCCCCCACCTAGTTGGAGGTCTTTTGGACTAGAGATGCAGCCCTGGAAATCTGGAATGTCCACAGGCCGCTGTGAAGCAATTGGTCTTAAAAACATATGAGCATCCTTTTCTCTGATGACAAACGCATGCTTCTCTCATAACAGTCAAGAACACTAACAGTCATGTATCCACTTCTTCACTAAATGAGGAATTCCATGGGGTTCACCTTTTTTAGAGCATTGAGTTACCGTTCAGGCACTAAAACTTTTAAATCGTTTTTAATAAACTTTTTAGATTGTATTACAAGTTTGCCTGCCTTCTTAAACAGAAATTGAATGTAATTTTAACATTTGATTAATGACTCGTTATTAGTTATTACCACTAC